AGTTTCGACGGTTGTTCTAGTGAGGTGAACGTCAGATTGCGCCATCACTTTTTCATCCGAAAAGCTAGTCCTCAGCGGAGTCACCATCTTTTGTAGGTAGGAAATTTGTAATAAAGAGAATGAAAGAAAATTGACTTGTATTCCTTCGATCTCGATTACAAGTTGATTACAAAAGAGAGGAGAATGAATTTGATTCTCTCCTTTGTTTAAAACCGGGTTCTTCTTGGTAGCGATGGAGTGTCTCATTCGAATGTTTGCGTCGAATTTGCTCTCCGTTGACGATCTGACCATACTATCTCATGAGTAGGTCTGTCCATCCGGGCCGGCCCGGCCCGGCCCGGCTCGGAAATCCGGGCTCCCCGGACCCGGGTACCCCGGGCCGGGTCCGGGCCCGGGCCCGGGCCCGACCGGGCCGGGTTTTTTCTTTTTTTTTTTAAATTTTTTTTTCCAAATTTTTAAATTTTATTTAAGTTTTAAATTATAAAAAAAGACAAAAAAACAATAAAAAATAATAATTTTATTAATCACTTAAAATGACATAAATTAAAATAAAAAATTATAAAAATAAATTCTTTATTAATAATTAATAAATCATTTACAAATTACAAGTATAAATTTATTTTGAAATTCATCGCATCACAATAGATAAGTACATCCCACCTAGGTTTTTTTAAATTTCTTTTCTTTTTTTTGAAAAAAAAAATGCTAAAAATTAGTTTAATATTATTATATTTTATATAATTATGTATTAGTATATACTTCTAAATTATTATGTAACTATATATTATATATACATATATTATATGTAAATATATTGTATATATTTATAAGTTATAATTTAAGAGAGAGAGAGAATCGCATAAGTAACCCTGTAGCCGTTGCTCGTTGGGCCAATGGGGAAGTAACCGTTGTAATATACTATACTTATATACTAAGAGAGAGAGTATACACACACACATATATAAAAGAGTATACTTATATAATAGGGAGTATACATATATAAGAGAGAGTATACTTATATATACATATATACTAAGAGAGAGAGTATATTAGTATATATATATATATATATAATACTAAGAGAGAGTATATATATACATACATGCATACATTATACATATATAAGAGAGAGTATTCTTATATATACTTATATAAGAGAAAGTATACTTATATATACTTATACATATATATACTTATATAAGAGAGAGTATACTTATATATACTTATATACTAAGAGAGAGTATATATATACATACACATATGACATATTATACATATATAGAAATATATTATATAAGAGAGAGTATACATATATAAGAGAGAGTATACTTATATATACATATATACTAAGAGAGAGAGTATATATATACATACATACATACATTATACATATATAAGAGAGAGTATTCTTATATATACTTATATAAGAGAAAGTATACTTATGTATACTTATACATATATATACTTATATAAGAGAGAGTATACTTATATATACTTATATACTAAGAGAGAGTATATATATACATATATATGACATATTATACACATATAGAAATATATTATATATACATATATTATACATATGTAATATAATACATAAAAAAAATAAAAAAAAAATAATCCGGGCCGGGCCGGGCCCGGAGCCCGGACTTGGCCCGGGTTTCCGGGCCGAGGCCGGGCCGGGCCGGGCCGAGGCCGGGCCGGGCCGGGCCCGGCCGGGCCCGGGCTGTTTTGGACAGCCCTACTCATGAGAACGATTGACTTGTGTGACAAGTCTGATTTAGAACTCTTAACGAGTTTTAGAAACTTAGAACGAGTTGAAAACTCTGAAAAGAGTTGTTGAAACCGAATAATCGGTTAATAGCCAAATAGATTTGGTTGTTGTTGAAGAATCCTTCGGGATTTGATTTCCTAACTGCTGAGCAGTTCTTTAATCTTCAGAAATCTCCCTCTCTCTGCCCAAAAATCCAACCTTATGCGGATTCTTGATCTCCAAATCTTCAATCCCTTACTTAGTTGAGTAATGCGGTTATTTATAGGCGGATAAGGGGTATAACCGACCCTTAGATCCGCTCCTAAGTGGGCGAAAATCCCTCAAAACGTGGGATAAATGGTTTTGAGGCTGTTCAGCTTGAGTTTGAATAGGTCAAACACCTAAATTGGCATTCTGGGCTTTAACTCCGCGTCTCAGACTTGGAACGCAGAGTTGGTTATCTGCGGATGATTGAAACGCACAGGCCGCTTGCGTTCTGTGTCTTAACTCTGCGCCTCAGACTTGGGGCGCAGAGTTGGGTGTCTGCTGAAGAATGATCATCCTGTTTGTGTGCTGACTCTTAACTCTGCGTCTTAGATCTGAGACGCAGAGTTGAATGTTTGCTGAAGAACGCACAGGCCGCGTGCGTTTTGATTTTGAGAAGCGCAGAGGTGGACTCCGCGTTTGGAAGAGATTATTGACTTGTAATCTCTTCTATGACAGCATTGCGAAGACTATTGCTCGTTGATCTTTGCTTTAGCTGTTATGGAGCGTGAAAGTCGTCAGATTGTAACTCTCACCGTTGCTTGTGAAGGCTACCGAACAGAGTTTTCACTAGTTGTCGGAAGTGTCGTCGAATTGTAACTCTTCTCGATTTATGTGAAAAGTCCTCCATTACCAGCTTTCATTTGTTGGCATGAAAGTTATCTACGTTATTGAAGCTTGATGGGGATCAGCTATCTATTGTAATTTTTAGATAGCCTACATATACATTACCACGTCATACGCTCTCTGATTGAGGACATGAAATTACAACTAGAAAAGATTTTAGGGAGCCAAAATCTTACGGATATGTTGACAAAAGCAGTGACTATCGAGAAACTGGAGTTGTGTGCAACTTTAGTTAACCTTCATGCGTAGGAGAAGAAGATGGAACCACACTAGGAGGATCAGCGGGATTGCTGGGATGATGATGATTGAAGAATGAATTTTTTGGTGTAGGAGACAATGCTTGCGAAGATGGCAAGAGTTCGGGAGAGCTAGTTGATGGCAGTTTGATCTCCAAGTGGAAGATTGTTGCTCTCAGGTGTGGAGACCCAAACCTGCATCAAACAGAAGAAGAAAGCAGAAAAATCCTACCCCCGGTCGACCGACGGAGGAGGTCCGGTCGATCAAGAACACTGCAGGAGACTGAGCAGAAATCTGCTCTCTGGCCGGTCGACCACGAGGCCTATGCCGATCGACTGCGAGCATGCACAAAGACATTGTAGGAAATCGACTCTCTAGCCGGTCGACCGTGGAGCTTGGTCCGGTCGACCGGAGTCGGGATTTCCAGTTTCCTGGTTCATTTTAGGAATCTGTTTGGGTTGGGACTCTATATGTACCTAATATGTTTTTAGGGTTATTATGCAACATGAAAAAAGAGGGTTTTGAAGGCTGTTTAAGAGAAAGATCTCAGAGAGATAAAAACCTATTTGCGGTGTGGCACCCGAGGACGTAGGCATGTTTGCCGAACCTCGCTAAATCCGGTGTGTTCTTTCTTGTTTATTTTTCATGCAAGTTTCTTTTATTTGCGGTGATTTTCCTACTTGCTAAACTTTTGACACAAGATCCGAAAGGGCACGGGTTTGATTTGATTGTTTCGAATCCCCAACAAACATCTCCTTAACGAGCTTGGTATAATAGCGACAACCTAAGAGAGGCAACTTCCTAGCCATGCACACAGTTTGACAAGCGAAAATATGAGTTATGAAAAAAATGAAATGTATTAATGTAAAGGCATATACTGTTGAGCTTAATCCTAAATCAGCTGTAGGTTATACTGAATGGTTTAGCATGACCTAGAGAATTCAGAAAAGAATTGTACAGGTTATAAGGGAGCGCAAAGATGCTGATAGGAACATTTCTAGCAAGGCTGTACTTGGAGTTTCTGCACCGTTTCAAAGATAACCATTTCCTACCTTCTCATAGTCCTTAATTATTAGATATGGGTTTCAGTATCAATTCAAGAAGGGTATAATATGCACCAGTGTGTCCTATGTTTTCTATCAATGTCTTAGAAAGCACTAGGCTCTTCTAGGAGCCGGACCAAGCACCTAGCGCCTAGGTGCTTAAGCGGCACTTCGGTGTTTTTAGCATTAAGAGAGGAAAGATTCTTTTTGTAAATTCAAATCCTATCATCACCATTTCTCTAAGATGGACTTTGATGTAAAATTTTGGTTTTGGCACATTCTCTTCATCTGTTTCTATGCCTAAACTAGCAATATACCACTTTTATATCACCGAATCTCTTTTATGCAACTTGCAAATAACTAAAATTTTCTTGAAGGTGTGGTAGGATTTCATTGTGGTCAGGGGAAGCTAAGGGAAAATAAGAGAGAAAAGAGAGGAATGTAAGTGAATTTTCTCTTCCCTAGGTTCCACCCCAGTTCCGAGAAGAACAAATTTCTATTGATTGTAGGGAAAGATGGGGGGAACATAAAACTTCCCAAATGGGATGAACACATTCTCCTATAAATGACAATATCTATATTTAAGAGTTTTTCCCCTCCTAAATGCACGTTAGTTTTTGTTGTTAATTACATACAGGGGTTCCAATGAAAATCGCTTAAAGCTACAGCGTTTCTTTGCGTCGGGCGCATCGGGTCGGATCGAAAGGAACCCATTATTCTGTAACCGGCCAAAACCCGTGAACTATTACCAATATAAAAAACCCTCAAAGTTCGGATACAGATATGAGATGCGGATTTATCCGAACCCTCAAAAGTTCGGACCCGTTATTTATAACCGACCAAAACGGTTCGGATTTTTCCGAACCGATCCGCATCCGTAATGGATGCGGATATGGTAAACTATTTTTAAATCTAGGCAGATACAATTTCGGATACGAATTCGATTTTGGTTTTTTGCGGATACAGATTCGGGTACGGATATGAGTGTTGCGGATGTCCGCAATTTAGTAAACATAAACGTTTGGGTCGTATCCAAAATTCCAAAGCCGTAAGCGATAACCCAAAAACCCAACTAAAAACCCTAGCCTCCGCTTTGTGATATCCAGACTCCACTCAGTCTACAACCCGACGGTCCGCGGACTCCGACCCGCCGCCCGCGTCGTCTTCGCCGTTGTCCGTGTCGTCGTCGCCGTTTCGCCCTCGTCCGCCGCCCGCGTCGTCTTTTTGGGTGTTTTGTTGTGAACAGGTAACATTTTGCGTTCCCCCCATTTTAGTAATTAGTTTGTTTCATTAACAAATGGTTTCTCTGTAATTTCCTTGTCTTGATTGCTTGTTGGGTCTACTTCGGATTTGCCTTACGTATGAAGATTTGAAAATTTTAAGCTACTTCTGAGTTGGTTTGATCTAGTTAGGATTTCACCCCACCCCCCCCACCCCACCCCCCTCCTCTATTCTGCAATGTGTAGTTCGTTTATGATCGGGGAACGGCGCGACTTGTTTGATTTCATACTGATTGCAGATGTTTTTCCATTTTGATCCTCATGTTAGGCTGCGTGCTGCCTTTAGATTTGATACAATTTGGATTAAATCTCGATTAAATTCCATTCAGAGTTATAAACTGCAAGAATTAGTCCATGATACAAATGTGTTGTCAAATAGATTTTAGATTATCCGTGATACAGATTTGTCTTTCATTATCTGTTTCATATCCGTGATCGTTTCCATTCTCAAATATCTGAACCGTATCCATTTCCGATGAATGCGGATATTGTTAAGGTTTTTTCTTACCGAAGATAATCCATATTCGTATCCGTTTATAGAAAGCGGATATGGATATGGTAAGTTTCATGTCCGAACCGTATCCGCTCCGTTAACACCTCTACCGTGAACTATAAACCCTTCTTCTCCCTAGTTCTTAATTTTTTCCTCTTCAAAACTCTAACCCTAGAGCGGTCATAGCTGGCCGCAATCTTCATTTGGGTACTTGTCTCTCTCTTCTCTACTCATTAAGTTTAGGGTTTTAGATGTTTCGATTACAATCACCATGGATTTTGAGTGAGATCTTTTCAATTGTATCATTTCCAGGGTTAGATTCGAGATGGCAGACGAGGGGCAGAAGCGCCTTGATTACGTTGAGGAGACGGTGCTGAAGAAGAGGAAGAACAATGATCAATGGGCCATTAAGAGGAGAGAGCAGATCGAATCTCGAAAGCAACGGAACAAAGACATCACCAAGTCCGCAATCAAGAGGCCCGAGCAATTTGTTCAGGAGTACCGCCTGAAGGTAACTTTCAAGCTTGTTGAACTGTGAATTAGTAGGAAATATCTGTCTTCGGTTGGTTTTTCTTGGTGAAGAGAATCGGAAAAATCGGATTTTGGCCACTGTGAGCACTGTGGAGAGGAGGTAGGAAAGATGATATAGCTAATTTAAATTTTGCCTGTGTAGTGCAGGGATTGAAATTGCAATTTTAGCCACTTGACTCATATCCCTTGTGTTTTCCATTGAAAGATTTTGATTTTCTAGTTGATTTAAATCTTACCCATATATTGCAATGGAAGGAAGGATGAGAAATTGAACAAAAAATAAAAAAATCAAGTTCGTGCATAGGGATCCGAGTACATTTATAGATTTATGTTTTAAAATAAACTCAAAAGCATCTTGCTGAATTATAGATGCTAGTGGAATCAGAAGATCCTCTTCAAAGTGTGTACTTTTGGAACTTAAATATGCATAGAGATCCACGTACATTTAGGTTGCGGAATAATGATTATGTTTTCATGCTCTCTTAATACATAGCATGCTTTCTTCAATATCTTTAGTGGTATTTACAAATGTAAAAGATAGACTAGATAGTCACAACCCAGTAGTTTAAACGACAGGGCTTCTTTTATTTCTGAAATAGTCTTTAATTTCGTCACGCAGATATCTCTGTCTATGTTGCTTTCCTTTTGTAGTCTGCTTATATTGTAAACCTGTAGTATTGCACTAATTTATCCTTCAATTTCTAGGAGTTGGATTTTGTACGTAGGAAACGGAGACTAAAGATGCGGAAGTTATCCAAAGGTGACATAAAGTCTAACTTGCTATTTGTAATCCGCATCCAAGGGTGGGTCATTCAAACCATGTTCTTTTTTATCCGCTGACTCATGTATGTGGGTGCTTTCTTATTGTTAGATGATTCTATTAATCCACACTTCTTCTGTTGTAGCTCGACGGACATGCATCCCACCACGAGAAAAACCCTAAAGCAACTGAGGTTGAGGCAAATCCTTAATGGTGTCTTTGTAAAGGCTAATGAAGCAAATTTGAGAAGGCTTCTCGCTGTCGATCCATTCATCACTTATGGGTATGACAAGAAAAGTCTTCCCTAACTATCTTGATTTCTGTTGCTTTTATCGTGGATCTATTTTGAATGGATTCTGTTTCCAGTTATCCTAATGCGAAAAGTGTGAGGGAGTTGATCTACAAGAAGGGTTGTGCCATGATAGACAATCAGAGGGTCCCTCTCACAGACAACAATGTTATTGAACAGGTATGTAGTCCCTAAGTACTATGTACTGTTTGTTAGTCATGTTTCTTTAGGATCACTTACCATGATTCTGGAAAAATGTCGAGTTTTGCATTTTTGTATTTTAAAATAATTCTATACTTATTTTGAACCATCGGATTCAGTTCAATAATAATATGCTTAATCACGCACTTGGTGCATGTATGCAGTTAAAGTTGCAAATGGCTTTCAAATGTCAAATGACATGTTCTTGAAGAAGTTATTTCATAATATAAATGGCTATAGGCCTATATATGATGCTTTATTTGCACTATATCAATATATTGCATTTCTTAATTTAGGGGAATGTTGAAGGTCGCTTTCAGGATGTCCTCTGATGATGTATGATCATGCTAAACAAGTTGTAGTATGGTAGTACAATGGTAGGATGTTAACCACTCAGTCTGATGACACATGAATTGATTAACCTGAACTAATGTGTTGGTAGTAGAACAGATCCATTAGTCTGTATCTTCTTTTAAATATGAACGGGTGTGAGCTATTTGTGAAGTTCAGCATGCATGTTGATGATATATCGTCAAGTGATGTGAAACCATGTACATCTGATCTTCAGATATTGTTAAAATGCAGAGAGGAATGTGATAATTTCGAGTAGCATAAGTCGTTGAGCAACCAAAGATCAAAATGGGATTCTTTGCATTTTAGATTAAAATGCCAGTCCTAGTCCGGGGAATTTTGGAGGATTGTTGCTTTACTATATCAGCTTAAACTTTATTGGAAGCTCGATCTTTCAAATGTTAGCTAGCCTTTTATTGCAGGCTCATAGCTTTTATGTGCTTGCCTCATCATAGAAATTGACTAATGAAAACAGTTGGTACTTAGTTATCTCTCAGTTTTAAAAGCCCACAGCTGATTAGAATTATGACGGAAAAGGCCTAATGATCGTGGCAAATAAGTAATTGCAGTCATTTGTGATCTTGTATAAATGACCTGGGAAATGTTATGATCATGGTTATGAGTTTTCAAACAATTGCAATTTTTCTTAAGATTCTGAGTATAGCCTTGGTGGTGTAAGATTTTCCAAGATTTGAATTCTTAAGCCCACCTCATCATCTAAAAGAGTTTGCGCATACAACGTAATGCTTGTTCCCTGATGCTGCGGTTTTTAAAAGCTCTGGGTTCTCATGGTCTTTGTCGCCGTCTGGTGTTTCTAATATCTAGAATAGGCCCAAGCTTCTACTATATAGACATTCAGAAACCAGCTCTTTACTTAAACCTTTCATTTACTTAGCATGTTCTACCTGTATACTTCAGCAAATACCAAGATTCAAGAGTAAGTTTAGTTGACATTGTTAGTAATTGGTTTAAGTGAAAATTTTCGCTGCAAATTTGTTGTAAATTGCTCCAATGACCTTCTAAAATAGCAGTTCATACGTTTCTTTGCGTCAATAAAACCTACTATCATCTGATCTTTGGAAGTAAAATTTTGAAAAGTTTTCTTTTATGATTCTCTCTTATTTATTTATTTATTTGGATTGGAATTCAGGCTCTTGGGAAGTATGGTATCATCTGTCTTGAAGATATTGTGCATGAGATTTCCAATGTGGGACCGCATTTTAAGGAGGTGAGCAGGTTCCTGTGGCCATTCAAGCTCAAGAAGCCTGAAAGCCTTCACCCTTTGAAGAAGAAGCATTTCAAAGACGGTGGTGATTCAGGCAATCGCGAAGAACACATCAATGCATTTATAGAGAAGTTGAATTAAGGGGGACGAGCGATGTCTTGCTTCGTGCAGTGGTCGGCTTGAATTTGTTTCGACAAGCCATGTGACTTGAACTTTGGCTGCTAGAGGTGGAAACTGTGTTTGAAAAAAACTGTGGATTTGAACTGTTAGCCATCCGAAGGTTTGGATTATACGCATTGCTTATAGCCAATTACAAATTTTGTGCTATTTCCCATGTTTTTGGGCTGCTGTCGCGAAAATAAATTTCCTAAAAAGAAGACTTTCCTTTCTCTGTTTGAATTCATGCAGCAGCCCGAGAATTTTATGTGATTACTGCTTGGGCACGTTATCCTTATGGCATTGATTTATAATTTAGGTTTGTAATCACTTGGGAGCTAACATTGACGATTAGACTGCCCAGCTGCAAGAGACGAAAGGTGCAGTTAGATCAAATGAGGAATTCTAATCAAATGCTTCAGCTGAGAACACGAAACGATTCTCGGTAACATTACCCTTTGCAAAGAGCTTGATCCTATAGTAGAAACAGGATCCTGCCGCAATTTTCATAAGGCATAAATAACAGTATACAAATAGTTCGGAATACAAAATGGCAAGAAACTGTAAAGAGTACCATCGAGCGGTAAACGTGGGTTCAACGTCTGGATTCGCTTGTGATCTTGGAGTGTGTATTTGATGAGCAATATTGCTTCTGAAGAAAAAAAGTTTTTGTTAAAACTTATCATAATATTCACGTGAGGAGGGAAAACAAGCTAGAGGACTGACGAAAACCTTATGTAGGGCTCCAAGTCCTTCCATTCCCATTTACACCGCTCTCGAAAAAGTGTAGCAAAACGATCAGCTGGAACTGTGGGAAGAGCTGAGACGCTAAAAGTTCGAATCCAACTTTCTACACCAATTTTTATCTTAAAGAATCTCTGTTGGATTAAATCTGATTATGGGCACATATGTAATTTTAATGTGTAATGCTATCGGTTAAGGTTAACCCGTTAAAGTGATCAATTAAGTTAATTTGGATTAATGTGTATTTAATTAAATCATGGGCTAAATGTGTAGATACCAGGTTGTAATTATAATTTAATGATGGGCCAAATTATAAGTGTACAACACCTATAAATAAGGGGTTATGGTCCCTAATCTAGGGTTACATTTCTCTATTCTCTTAATCCTCATCTAAAGAGATTCCAAAGGAGAGACCCTCAAGATTAGAAGATCAAACGCTGATTCAGATCCCTGCAAATTCGTCATGCATTCAGGTATTGCTTCCGCTCTTGTTGTTTAATCTCTATGATTTAATCATGATTAAGTTCAACAAGTGGTATCAGAGCCATCGTGATTATTTCTTATGGGTTTAAGATTCAAATTTGGGTTTTTTTATCTTAATCTCTGGTTTTTCAAAACTGCTCACGGATGAACAGTAAAAGTTCAATTTTTTTGTTTAGTTTTTCTCTCGATTTTTGGATCTGTTACTCTCATGAACTGTAAAGTTCACTACTTTTTGGTTTGATTCCAATTTTGGATGTTTGGATCTAAAATGGATTCAAGTTTCGGATCTGGATTGAGTTCAAAATTGACAGAAAAATGGTTTTTTTGTTTTTGGTTTGTCATCGTTCGCCATCTGCTTGCCGGAGATGTATCGATGGTGGCCCCAATGTCAAATGAAGACAGTGACGGCGGCGGTTTTCGGAACAAAACCCTAAGGGGTGTTCGTGCATGAAAACGTGTGGAAATTATGGCAAAAAAAGGAGGTTACCTCAATTTTAGACGAGCTTCGGGGCTTGAAAGCTTCAGCGAACTTCGGTTCAATCCAAACGAACATCGCGTTCGTTCTCAAGTCGAACCCCGCGTTCATTCTAAGGCGAGCCTCGTGCTCAATTCAAATGAACCTCACGTTCGTTCTCAAGTCGAACCCCACGTTCATTCTAAGGGGAGCCTCGTGCTCAATTCAAACAAACCCCACGTTCGTTCTCAAGTCGAACCCCGTGTTCATTCTAAGGCGAGCCTCATGCTCAATTCAAACGAACCATGTGTTCGTTCTCAAGTCGAACCCCGTGTTCATTCTCAGGCAAACCTCGTGCTCAATTCAAACAAACACCACATTCGTTCTTAGGCGAGCCTCGTGCTCAATCCAAATGAACCTCACGTTTGTTCTATTGGCATTGTTGTCTTTCCCGTCGGGTGAAAGAAGAGGGCTGCGTGTATTTGTTTGAGCTAGGGCACACTCCAAATCTCTTAACTTAAGTTGTGGGCTCAATTTGTTTGAGATTAAGCCCACTTAAGTTCTTTTGTTAATTGTGAGAACCTGTGACAAGTTTATGGGCCTACAATTATTTCAGTTAGGTTTAATTGAATTTATCAATTAAAACTTAAGTTATGGGCCTGTGCTGAATATATGGATTAATTGATTTTATCATTTAAATCCTATGTTGTAGGTCTTATTAAGTTATGGACACTTTTCTGTAAACTTAATTTTAATTGTTAAGTGATGAGCCCTTTTAAGCTATGAAAAATTCTGTTTAATTTAAATTAAATTGTTTAATTTGAATTAAATCTGGTAGTTAATCAATTATTTAATTCAAACAATATGACACTAAGGTATAATATTTGTCTCTCATTCTAAATGATTAATTGAAACAAGATGTTGCCAAAGTGACATCTCTTGTGTAAATTGTTCATAAGGGATATTAGATGGTTGTGTGTATGTTTTCGTGTAAATAGTTAATCGGCCCAAAGGAATGTTAGTATTTATTTAGACTGCATCCTTATCTGTGATGATAAACATGTGATAATTATGGGGTTTACATGTGAATAATGAATCGATCCAAAGATAATTTCATTATTCAACATGAGTTATTATCAGTGTTTGATCATTGCAACAATGTATCACTTATAAATTAATATTACTGTCCAAAGACTAGATATTAATGTTGTGCCAGATATCTTGCGATGGGATTTGTCTTTATTTGAATTTTATTGATTACTAATTACAGTTAATAATGTGAGTACCTTTCGATTATTTTAGCTAATGCATCTGCTGTAACAATTTTTGCTAACATCAACTCAATTCCCATGCTCAATGAGACACATTTTAAGGTTTGAAAAGAGAACATATTAATTGTTCTTGGCTGTATGGATATAGACATTGCTTTAAGAACTGAACAACCCCAACCTCTCAATGCGGATAACACTCCTGATGTCAAGGAGTATGAGAAATAGGAACATTCAAATTGCACGAGTCTTATGATCATTAAGCGTGGCGTTCCGGAAGCCTACAGGAGCATAGAATCCGAAGGGATTACTCAGACTAAAGATTTCCTTATAGAAATTAAGAAACATTTTACGAAAAACGATAAGGTAGAAATAAGCATGCTTTTAGCATGCTTGATTTCGATAAAGTATAAGGAAAAATGAAATATCAGGGAGTACATTATGAAAATGTCTCATATTGCTTTAAAACTTAAGGCACTTAAACTCAATCTTTGTGATGAGTTATTAGTGCATCCGGTTCTCCTGTATCTTCCTGCATAATTCAATTAGTTTAAGGTCAGTTATAACTGGTAAAAGGAGAAATGGACTCTAAATGAGCTCATTTCATACTGCGTGCAAGAAGAAAACAAGTTAAAGCAAGATAAGATAGAAAGTGCTCATTTGGCTTATACCTCTAAGGATAAGGGCAAGAAAAGAAAGAATGATAATGAAGCTGCTAAGGGTCTACTTCAAAAGAAACAATATAAGGATAATCAGGGTTGTTTTTTGTAGCAAATTTGGACACGTAAAGAAGGACTGTACCAAATATCACGCCTGACGTGCTAAGAGGGGTACGTTCCTTACTCTGGTCTGTTTTGAGGTTAATTTAGCTTCAGTACCTAGAAACACTTGATGGTTAGACTCTGGTGCTACTACTCACATAAGTGTTTTTATGCAGGGCTGCCTGAGCTATCGAAAGCCAAGTGATGTTGAAAGACACATCTTTGTGGGCGACGGACAATCAGTAGACGTGGAAACAATTAGATACTTTAGGTTGTTGTTAGGAACTAGTTCATATTTGGATTTAAAAGATACTTTTGTAGTACCGTAAAGGAAGAAACCACTTTTCAAGCTCGCCGCCTCGTTAAGCGTACTTCCCTTCTCTTTTTTTATTCCAAGACGTGACTTTTCCACCCGTTTTCAGGCCTCAAACCCCTGAAAACACATTTCTTCAAATACTGACGTGGACCCCCATTTCACAACCCCTTTTCTTTAAATCGTTTGACGAACCAAACATATGAAATGGAAAAGGTTTGAAACAAAATAATCCTAGGTGGCGCTCTTGTCAGTTTTCATTTCCTCCTTTTCCTCATTTTTTTGGGCAAACAAACAGCTCCTTATGACAACGTTTATATATATATATCGTAAGTAAAGCTTTACTTTCATTGACAAGATTTTGTTGTTGTCACTAAAACTAGTCACTGAAGCCACAGTTTCTTGTGGTGATTCCATTCATTTAATAGGATGAAGAAGCACGACGGAGGTACATCTTGCGACCGGGGCAACCGTATGAGTGGAACTAACTCGAGCACACAAATGAACTGCAAACGGTACTGAAGAACACGATACAACAGAAACACTCGTACACACGAAATAATATTTTACGCATACGGTTCCATTTATTTAATTAGCAGGATATATATACAGAGATAAGATGATAAGTCCATCGTACGACCGGACAACCATACAGAAGTTGCGCTGACTCAAAACAAACAGACCCTGACTCGACAACATCACAGACTCTCGAACAGACAAAGCGAACTGCAACCTGCAGCAAAGTAAGTAACACACGATGCAACATAAACACGTACACATACATGAGCGCATGCATGCAGCAAGATTACTCAGTGGCTTTGGATGCTTCGTCATCAGTGCTTGCTGCCAGGTCAGCCGTGACCAGGGTACAACTGCACCGAGTCGCACAGACTCTTTTGCTGTTGCCCGCGGCGCGGCACCAACGGTGGCAAGGATTATACTTACAGCTGCCCGTCAACTTGTGGTGCAAGCTGATAAGTTCTTCCATCATCTCCTTCAGTTCGGCTTCAGCTTCATGAGCGCGATTGTGGGCGACCTCGCCAGCGCTTCCGTCATCTTCGCCTTCCAGCCCAGCTCTACCTCTGTTGCCCGCTCATTAGGTGAAAATGGATCATCGAGGTCGCAGCGGCACCTTTGCGCACAAAGCGGTGGGGT